GAAAAGGAGGCTGAGGGGCGACCTCATTGCTCTCTACAGCTTCCTGAGGAGGGGAAGCGGAGAAGGAGGTGCTGATCTCTTCTCCCTGGAATCCAGTGACAGGATGTGTGGGAATGGTTCAAAGCTGCGTCAGGGGAGGTTCAGACTTGACATTAGGAAGCATTTCTTTACCGAGAGGGTGGTCAGACACTGGAACAGGCTTCCTAGAGAGGTAGTCGATGCCCCATGCCTGTCAGTGTTTAAGAGGCATTTGGGCAATGCCATTAATACTATGCTTTAACTTAAGTGGTCAGGCAGTTGGACTGGATGATCGTTGTAGGTCCCTTCCAACTGAAAAGATTCTATTCGATTCTAAACTACAGTAGATTACATAAAATTCCCTTGTTTAACACACTACACTGTTTTCTCCCTATTAAAAGGAAGATATTAGTCTGTACTATAGATTCTTAAAATAATAGCACTTGGAAACTCAATTTCCAGAAAATGAGAAGTGAACTCTCTGAAATCATTTACATTAAATACATTTTAAACAGTTTATTACTTTACGAACTTCTAAATTGCATGCAATTCATAGCTTAATCAAATATCTACTGATATGAACTGAAGTCAATTTAGACAAATACAGGAAATATCATACTTGATCAGGTCAAAATGCCATTTAAATTCAAATATTCAGTACTAGAAGTTTCAAAGGACAGTTCAAGAAACCCTGAAACTGATATAATTTTATGTAAGACAGTCATGGAAGTATGATTTTTTGATCTTTATACACTTTATCTACCTTGATCATTCATGCTTTTTATACTTTTCACCTCTCTAAATAGTCCAATACTTCCCACACTTATTTACTTGGAAAATAATTTTCTCATTTCCTTTATGCATTTTGATACAAGATGATCAAAACTAACTGTATCCTAAATAAGAATACCATAAATATTAAATAGCATCTATTTTCTTTTCTATTCTATTCTATTCTATTCTATTCTATTCTATTCTATTCTATTCTATTCTATTCTATTCTATTCTATTCTATTCTATTCTATTCTATTCTATTCTATTCTATTCTATTCTATTCTATTCTATTCTATTCTATTCTATTCTATTCTATTCTTTTCTATTCTATTCTATTCTATTCTATTCTATTCTAATCTATTCTATTCTATTCTATTCTATTCTATTCTAATCTATTCTATTCTATTCCTTCATGCAGCCTAACATTTTCCTTTGTTTTGGAAGTACAGAATTAGTTCAGATGATCTCTCTGTAGGTGCTTCGCTTTTGTGGCTCCCAATTTCTTCTGCCAGTTCATATATTGCTTTTCCTAATTTAGTTTGATTCTTCAGAAGTATTTAATCATCTTTAATGTTGACCACAGAATAATTCTGCATTTCCTAAAAAACAATTTTATTCCTTTTTCCATAGACTGATAAACCAGCTACTTCCAACATTCGTAGCATTCAAAGACACCAGGGATTCTTGATTCTTGTTATTCTCCAGCCATCACTGATATAGCCATTTATGACTATTTGTCCTTTGGCCACAACAGTACTCTCAGAAGACCAAAATAAATTAAGCCATAATCACAGTTCAGCATGTATTTGTCACTGAAAAATGAATAATATTAGTTATACTAGTATTTTGGTTACATGTGACATAAGTCTGTCAAATCTGGTGAATTTTAAGAGTTAACACAATAGAAATGCTGAATTCTTGACACTTTTACTCAAATGTGGTCAGAAACTAATACGTAGCAAAGCATCTGCCAATTGCCTAAAAACATCTTGTTATTTGTGTATATAGACATTATAATAATGTGGAAGTCATTCCAGCTGGTTTAACAAAGGTACTGCATACCTCCAAGAAAAAGAAAGTACATGCAGGATTTACTATTGTTGAAAGGAAAGTTCTGAGATGTATCATCATCATTTTGCAACAAGGAGAGAACCTCCACACACCCCGCCCTCACATCGCATGTCATAGAACAGACATATCTAAAAAAAAAAAGTGCATTGAAGTATCTGAAGTTGTTTCTTTAGCTTAAAAAGAACCAACTTGTATGCAATTCAAAGTATGAAAATTTGAATAGTAAAGCAAAATTCATATCTTTCTCAGTAAAACTAAATAAAGCATTTGCAAATCTGAAAGTTTATCTTTTAGAAATACCAAGCATTAATAATGGATATAGTGTGACCTTTATCAATTTTCCAGATTAGTCATATTGAATTAAATAAAAAATGGTATATAAAATGAAGCAAGACTTGTTCAACAAGTCAAACTGTTCTAATCATTCTCTCCTCTATTTTTATATTGCAGTCGTATTTTACTCCATATGCTTCAGACAAAAAGCATAGCAGCATTAACAGAAAAACACTGAAAAGTATAACCTACACCCCCATTCTCTCTGCTCACAAATACATAAAGCAGAGTAGATACTTTGGAAGGTGGAAGATATGCTATAGCCTCATTCTCATGTTTTCACACACACACCCACCCCCCCCAAATTTTGTAAGCTCTTATGAAGCACAAAATTTAGGCTTTGACTAACATTCATAAGGGTGTAGCTCAAAGATCTGCTACCTACTCTCAAAGTACAATTTAATAATATCATTAAAGAAAATAAACATTTTCAGTCTTACCCTTTACATTACCTTCCACATTTTTAAAATACAGGTACATTCTGTATTGCAGCTATTCTCAGGTAAACCACTTTGGGAGTAAAGTTTTAGCTTTCAAAACCTTCCACAAAAGGAAGAACTGTCAACTATGCATCACATTTTTATTAGCTTGCTTTCTTATTCAAATAAGGAAAAGCAAATAAAGAACCATAGAACCTACTAAATACTCTAAATTAATCTAAATATTTCCTAGATACAAAGTCATCTTTATTCCCCCTCTTAACAGGAAAACCAATCCCCTTAAATACCAAAGTTTATAGCAGCAAGTATGAGCAATGCACCATAGTATGCACAATGACATTAGCATATGAGGCTACACTCTACATTACATTCACTTAATGGTTTGTACAAACCTCAGACAACATGCAATCCATTGGACAGCTGCTTCGATATTTACCACATTATATGAAATCCATCAAGTTTTCCTTAGTATACCAACAAAACTATTATTCTGTGAAATGTTACAAGGTACAGACAGCTGTAACTTCTGAGAACAGAAGTATCAGTAAAACATCTGACTTGCCTGAACCAGAATAATTTTATAAAAGAAATCCCAGTATTCTGTATAAGTGCAGTGAACAGCTTAAGTGTCAAGCAAATCTAAACTAAAAGCAGATTATACCAAATGTTCAGAAAACAGGACAGGATATTCTGCCTGTCCTGACAGGATATTCTGCCTACTACACATTCTTAAATAAAATCAAATGCATAGCTTAACTTCTGACACAACAGGTATATTTCAGAGCTCTAGAATACCAAAACAACTTAATGAATAAGAACATTGTCACATCTTCCAAATGCTCTCCTGTTGGTGAGTGACTTTTAGAGAATTAGACTCCATTCTTAATCAGCAAACATTAACTGCTAGAGAGCTAATAACTAAATGATACCAATGTAAAACAAAACAAAAAAACCCCTTATTTTTCGTGCAAGATCAGGGCCAATTTATGGACAGGGCAAATAACTGTAAAAGGCTCAATAGAATTTGATTGGTAGGCATAGGTGCATTAGCATTTTAGTTCATATCAGGAACATGCTCTTGAAGCAAAACTCCCACTTACCATGCTCTGGTTCATTACATGGAAGAGTGTTGGAGAGCAAACAATTTTTTTGGACTGAACTACTCCAAAAGATATTCTCCAGAAATATCTAATGGAAGTTCAGTCCATGGGACCAGACTAGAACTTGTCCAAAGTAAAATCCCTAAAGTGCAGGTAATGTAGGTGCTGGATTCTCAGCACCAACTATTTCCCTTACAGATCTGCTACTATTGCATAGTAATATTTGCTAATGTAGACATAGCCACCATCTGTGGTACGCTTGCTTTCTATTAGAGAAGGATAATATTATTAAGCACTACAAAACAAAAAATTACTTTTAAAATGATATTTACCAACAAAAGCTCTCACCTGTGCTTGTTCTGGAGTTTCTCCTGCAAAGTAAAAGATGTAATGCTCTTCACTGAAGTGCTGAACTACTATCTGAAAACAGTTTGGCCTTAAAAACAAACAAAACAAGAATGTAGCATCATCACACTTGGAAACAGGAAAAATCCCAACAAGAAAAGTTTCTACATGCTTCAAAAGTGCATTTTGGTTTGAATGAATTATGTAATTTCAAGAAAATTGCACTGCAGTTCAACTAGTTTGTTTCAGAATATTTAAGAAACTGGGAACAGTTTGTATTGAATATGCATGTACACTGACTTACAGTTGAGGCAAAATACACCTGATAACATAAAAGGCTTGTTAACAAGGACTATTCCCCACAAACATTTTAAATGATGCACAGGTTCAGCATTAGTTCCCAATCAATTAATCATGCATTATGGTTTTCTTGTTTTAGGAGTTTAGGAAACTATATTAACATAAGGAATTCCTTATCTGAAAGCATTCCACAGCTCTCACGACTAATTGTATGTATGTATTGTATCACATACTAATCATTGAATACATGTGATATAAACTTCTAAAGCTTTAAATGCAATAACATCTTTGCCATTTTATGTGTCTACACTCATTTGTCAAGAAGTATCAAAAATATTTTGTACTGTTACATTACAAGCTAAAGTGCACACTTGATTCATGGCCTTCCACATTATGTTCAAGGGAATTTAGTTCTCCCAAAAACAGGGTTACATGAAGGATCTTACTTCACTTGCAAATGATGTTTCAGTCTTCCCTTCCCCCCATCCATTGCTTAGGGAAATACTGGCATGTCATTTTGTGGCCATGCCCACATGAGGATTGGAGAGGGGGGCAAGAAGTACCCAGGTCAGGAGCTACTTAAATCATTGTCACCAAAGACATGCAAAGCTACAGCCCTCACTGTACTTCTGAGAAAAGGGAAAAGGTAGTTTTTACCACCTACTTAAAATATAAGAGGAATTTTGTCTCAGCTACAGTTCTTCACCAACAGCTTTCCCAAGCAGGTGCAATCATGCATCTCCTTCTACTCACACTTTTAGTGTTACTTATTATTCAACTACATTTTAACCCACAGTACAGTGTTTCTTAGAAGCTGCTCAACAGTCAGTCACCATTAACCAAAATGTTCCTTGTTTACAGTCTACACCAAAGCTTCCTGTATAATTGCCAACTTACATGAGGAACATTTCATTAATTTTTTTTTAAATGGTACGCTCATATCTATGGCTCCTCATTCCAATAGTTGTGTAGATTTTCCAAAATGATTGAGAAATGTATAAAAATCAGATGGTGCAAGAACACCAGATCTTTGCAGCTTAAGAAATGCCACTAATTTTAAACATCTACACATTATCTCTGTGAAAAGACTTAAAGTTGATTAAATACTTTTAATAAATATTAAGATGCATGGAATAACCTGAGCTTCTGTTTAATGTGTTTTTCTATCTGTTATGACAAAATAATAACATTTGTAGGAGTAAATGCATCTTTTTCTTCTATATCACACAGGACTGCGCATTTTTTTGTAATTAACAATGAAAAAAAAGATGTGACCTCTTTCATCTTAGTTACCAATGATATGAGAAAGTGTTTTGATTCTCAACTTCTTTGCCAATAGTCACATCACTTGCAGCTGACATATTGTGAATTATCAAAATTAGTACAGTAAATGAAACTGTGAAAATGATCTCTGAATCTAACTATCTTGCAAAAATAATTTGTAAAATGTTTGCTTATATGAACTAACTTACTGTTCTAATGTTGGTCTAATCTAATTCTTACTGATTCTTAAATGGAAAAGCACTGATAAGTTATCTAACTAATTTAGCTTTCTAATACCTATCAACAAAAGAATGCAGGTCTTTTGGAATTGACAAAATTCTTGATCTTATCAATTCTTGATTCAATAGGATTAAAACCCTCAATACAGTTGCTTCATAATCTTTTTAATGCCTGTAACACAAAATGTGGAACAATTAATACACAATATTGAAAAATGACAATGCAAAAGGCCAAATCATTATCACATCATATTACATGAGAAAATCTTAAGACTAAGTTCTAAAATTTCTTACTAGAAGTTGTTTATGAACAGTTGCTAGCAATCAAGTTCCCATGGCTTAACAAGTTACCGTTAATCAGTTAAATCTGTCTACATATGTTCTTGTAATCTACGCCAACTATGAAATAAAATGCAATATGAACCAAGAGTCACAATGCTTTCATTTCACAATCAGCAACAGCTAAAAAAAAACACACGTGGACAATTACCAGGGCTCAGGTGTCAAAAAGCAAGTTTATTGTGCCAGGCCAACTTGTTCATTAGTGACATATTGTCCCTATTTTGTATATGCCTCAGACTAGTAGTTAACTGTTCTACTGCATGTACAAGAATTAAAAGCCAGTGCCCTACCTGCCAAATAAACTGTCATGTACTCCATAGACTGAACACACACTAAGGTCTATTAATCCTTTAGGTTTTGTGGCTCGTTTTTCACTTTCAAAATAAATAAGCTGGGCATCATTTCCCTCCAATATAAAGTACAAGTTTTTCCATCTCTTTCCTTTACCTGTAAGGAAAGCAAGTAAGAAGTTACAATAATGTTTTAAAGAAAATGTAAATTTTGTAAATGAAGAAAAAAGAGGGCAGTAAGGTTTTTGTCAAAATACAAACAGAAGAACAATGTACAGTTAATCACGCTTAAGCAATAACATCAGTATACATACTCAATTTTTTGCAGCATGTAGCTAATACTAGACCCTCTTCACAGATTCAAGTACAATTTTAGATGGTTCTCTAAACATTTTCATTAATCTCAATAGGATTAAGCAAGTGCATATGAGCTCCATTCATATCAGTGGGAAGACTGTGTCTACACAGTTTGCAAATAATGTGTGATGCTGTAAGCGATCCAATTTATTATGGCTATTTTAATTAAGAAATAATTTCTCTTGACATAAGAAAATTATTCCTAAACTCTAATCAACTGATCAGCATAACAGATTGCATCACAATATCTTAAATCAGAATGACTGAAAAATAGAAATGGGAATGCAATATATACAAACTTGTATCACAACCATACCCCAAACACACCTATATCAAAAAATTTGACCAGTTCCACATGTTTCAGAAAAAAAAACATTAAAAAAAATTTTAATAACCAGAGATTTAAATGTCAAGGTTTGTTGGAAGACACATTAGATGTATCAGTAAAATGTGGATTTAGCCACTGACTAAACCAAAAATAAATCACTCATTGTTTAATGTCCTCTGAATTACAACTAATAAGGAACTTTCTGCAACTAATTCATATATAAACCACAATACCTTTAAGAAAAACATCCAGCCTTAATTTTCAGCTTGATCATCACAGATCCACCACAGCCCTTCATAAACAAGCACTAGTACTCACTGTTTTGGAAAACTAACTTTAACATCCAGTTATTATAATCTACTAGATGGAAGAGTGATTTTATTAAATTTCTGTTCTGTATGCAGGTATGTGCATCTCTCCACACCTACTCAGTACTCCTGCTTGCACATTTAAAGTATCTCATTATCCCTTTTAGGTAAAGATTTTCACTTCAAGTTCATTCTCAGCTGATTCCTCACCCTACCACATCCCTCTACACCTTCTCTCAGAATTAGCACTCTCAAGAGAAGAGATGCTTTCCTTGCTTTATTCAGAGGATCTAGTTTTTATTACCTTTGAATGCATCTTTTAAATTTGGCTATATTTAAATGCTTACCTTCTTTATCACTTTTGCTTGCTATCCAGATCACTATCTGTTACTTATTGTTTTAGCTACTATCTTTGTCATATGCAGAAAAGTTATTACTATTTTTTAATTTTTTTTTTTTAGATCAACTTTAGTGGAAACAGAAAAAGTAAAATCATGATACTTGGAAAGGGACTAGCTTCCTCGGAACTTCAAAATCTTGCTCAATGGTAATTCTTCAGGGATATATTGAGATGAGTCAGAAAGCTTTTAATCCAATTATTCTATGCTGACTGTCAGTGTTAGAACCTTAAAAAAGTCTCAATGTACCCTGTACACCAGAATACACATTTAAAATTAAACATATTACCTAACTTGGAATAAGAAAATTAAACCAGCTCTGGTCTCCAATGAATATACTGATTTACATTAATCTAGCTCTCTTTATCCATGTGATCAGCTTAAATTTAAACAAGTTGTATATTAAATATTAATACATTTTATGAAAAAGTACTTCATTTAATGAGTCTAAATGTTACCTTTGACAGAAGGCACTTAGGTTTTGTGCTGTTTTTTGATTTTTTTTGGCAAGAGCTGCCAATCAACATCTTTATATATTTATATATCTTCTTAAGGAAAAAGAACCTTTCAATCCCTTTACAGGCTTTCTACCACCTTTTGCTCACTTCAATTTTGCCTCCACTAGTACCAGTACTACACAAAATATGTATCCATATCTGCATTTTTTAGAAAAAAACATTTCATAAAAGCAAACAGAACTCACTTTTTTTCAGAAGATATCCTTTTTTGACAATATTTTTATAAAAAGCATCCTTTGTTTTGCGACGAATTGTATTATAGATTTCTTTTCCATCCACTGTATCATTAAGCACCTGTTCTTGATGCTGGTAAACAAAGAAGAAATCAACATTTTTTTAAGCTCAGAAATCACCGTGAAACAATTGCACACTATGAAGCTGCAACTGAAATTTTATCGAATGCTACCAATTCTTTATTATTATTCTCTCATATGTCTTAACAAACTAATATAATTTAATACAATACCTTTTCCAGAAATGTAATATAATTATTTCTTGTGGAATGATTAGGCCAGAATTATAATATGAGAAGAAAAATAAGGTTTAAATACAGACCAACTTTCACAAAGTAACATCTGTATTTATTTAACACTAAATAGATAGCAGCATCTTTCAGTGATTTATGCAAAATTTACACAAGTCTTTAAAGGTTATTTAGCTTCTAGCTGTCTTCTACCAAGGCTTTTGAGACTGAGTAATTAAGGATAACTCTGAATCAACAAGAATGGTGCAGATCACAATTAAAATTGAATGATTAACACACAAAGTTGCGCTGTCCCTCACTAATCTTATTAACACTCATGTCCTAAATGAGTATCATTCTAACAAAAAACAATAGGAGAAAGTAGAAACAGGAAATAGAAAAAGGATAAATTCACATAGAAAACTAAGATCTGGAAATGTAAATACCAAGCTAGAATGGCCAAAAGCCAAGCCAAGTTTGACCTTACCGAGTCAGCTGATCAGCAAAAGTTCTTTAGCCGTAAGAAAACATGAAAAGCAAGACTGTCAAGCAGTGACAACAGTACTGAGATGAAGTGATATATGCACTGGCTCCATACTAAATACTCTACTTTTCTCCGTTCCCCCCCATATATCTATAAGAATTATGGTTTTGAACAACATGATAAAGACAAGATGAAAAACATTTCAGTAATAGGAATTACAGGACTCACAATGGAAGCAATACCCAAATTTTTACTAACTCAAGATAATCTCCATAACATAGCTATGAACGAAACAATGTACAAAACAACAGATCTAGTAAAAAATGTTTTAAAGTAAATTCCAAAATAGAAACAGGAAGTCTATTAGATTGAACCAAATAGTATGCAAGACTTCTGAAATTTTTTTCTTCAAAAACAGAGCATGACAGTATGTGGGAGAACACACAACCAAATGTAATTACACCACCAATAACTTTTTTTTTTTTTTTAAGAAAGGAAAGTCACAAATATATCTGAATAACTTAAAAGAATTTGATGCAGTCTCAAGGAAAGTTACTAGGTTAAGCTTTTCAAGGATCAGTCTCGGAATTCAAATTTCCTCATATCTGTCTCAACCACATTACAGAGCGTGAGTTAATAGTAGCAGACAGCTGGGAAGCATTGATGACAAACCAATCAGCAATAAAGGAACGATCAGAATAATAAGGCAGAAGTCTAGTAATACAACATAAAATTTGCATTTGCTGATACTTACCAATAGAAAACAATATAATATAATGTGGCTACGATAACAACACAGATAATATCTAGGATATATCTGCTAAGTACTCTCACAGAAAAAAGGAATTACTAATGACATGGTATTCTGAGCTGTTCTGGTCCATCACATTCAAGAAACACAAACTCACACTGGAATTGGTGGTAGTAGGGCAACTACAAGAATGTTATGAAGAGACAAAAAACAGATTTGGTATGCTCAGCTTAGTGAGCTGACTAAGGCAGAATACAAGAAATGCCCTTGTATTAATAAAATAGATCTAACAAAGGGGTAACTATTTAGGTTGGAAATTAAAACCAAATTTCTAACCATCAAAACAGGAAAGTTTGAGAATAGATAGGGAACAAAGTATACAAATATACTTTAGAGCTAGCTATAACTTTATGAAAAACTAGATGATGTGGTTTTTTTATTATCAGTGGTCTCTTAGGATGAATTTATGCTACAGGGCAACAATGTTCCAGAACACGCCCTGCAATCCCAGCCCCTTGATCATCTCTGAAGCTTTTCTGTGCATACAGGTTTTCTCTGGGGGAAAAAAGACACCAGAAACAGAAGAACAGAGGGCAGCCCAGTTCACCCCCACCCCAACATGGTATTAAGGCACAGCATTGGTTCAATCAGGGACCAGAGCTGGGGGCACAAGATGGAGCATTTACACCCCAGAGCACAGACAAAGCTTACCATATTTTCTGTTTACTACAAGCCAACCTTAGATAAGTGAATGTATATGAGGATAAAACGAAAGAAACACACAAGCTCAAAACAATAATTCAGGAGAGGATGATGCTGTTTAACTATCATGGATACTTCTGCTGTAATTCAGTTCCTATATTATAAATATTTGAGGATTAAGTCAATATCTTCAATAACAAGTGCTCAGAGATGAAGTTTTACCTGCATTGGAACAGGATCTTTAAGGTAATATCCTTCAACAATCTGTTCTTTTCTATAATGTTCAATGATCTCAGCAATACTGTTCAAATAAGAAAAATAAGATTTAAAATGTTAAACCAGTTAGTTTTTCCTCTGTATGAGAATTTGCTTTTCCATGCAATCACACTACGTTTCCTCACAAATTTATAATAAAAATCAAGTGTTAAACATCATAATCTCGTTTGCAGCAATGACAATTTACTAATACATTGAAGTCAAGAAAATTCACAGAACTGTACTCATAATGTATTAATTCTAAACTCCACAGAACATTTTCAATCAGTTGTTGAAAATGCCTGTATTGGGTCTGGCTGTGATGGAGTCAACTTTCCTCACAGCAGCCCTCATAGTGCTGTGCTCTGTATTTGTAGCTAGAATGTATTGATAACAAACCAAGTTTTGGCTACTGCTGAGCAGTGCTTGCACAGCATCAAGGCTGTCTCTCCAACTTCCCTGCCCAAAGGCCTGCAGGTTAGGGGTGGGCAAGAGGTTGGGAGGGGACATAGCCAGGACAGCTGACCCAAACTGACCAAAGAGATATTCCATACCATATGACGTCATGCTCAGCAATAAAAGCTAAGAGAAAGGAGGAGGGGGGGGGGCATTCGTTATTAAGGCATTTGTCTTCCAAAGCAACTGCTACACATACTGAGGCCCTGCTTCCTAGGAAGTGGCTGGACATCGCTTGCTGATGGGAAGTAGACAATAGATCTTTTTGTTTTCCTTTGCTTCCGTGTGCAGCCTTTGCTTTTCTTTATTAAACTGTAACGCATGCACATTTCCCAGCTCTCCAACCAGGCTGAAAATTGCTATTTTATTGGTAATAATTTTCAAAGTCCTAGAGTAACTAGGGAAGGGGAATGGGAGATACTTCAAACTGTGCAAAGCAATTTCTTTCTAGGAAGACAGGAGTGGGAAATAAAAAAGTTTTGTAATGTGGATTATGCAGATTATGCTTCAAAATCACTGAGCTATCATGTTAAATTAACTACCCAGTCAGTAACAGTCCTCTACAGGGAAGCTTGCATTCTAATTACCAGAATCAGGTTTAAATTGTATTTTGAAGGATCAGGAGAGAAGTAGTGACAGACACAAGCTAAAATTCAACGTATCTTTGAGTTGCTCTTATTTTTGCAGTTATTGAAAGTTACATTGTAATAAAGAGAAGTAATGTTAACATCAATACGGATGAATCATTCATATACGAAATATCAACCTGAAAAGAAAGAACTAAGTAATTAACTGGAGAACAAAAATATACTTTATGTGTTTTCTCACTTCATATATACTGTTAGCTGTGTGTGCAAATGTAATCAATAAGGCACACATGATGAGATATTTAGCCTATTACAACTGGATAAAATTTTGTCCAAAGGAAAGATAGAGGATACTATAAAAATGGTCATAAAAACATGTAAATAAAACATTAGAAAGACATCTTTCTTTGCTTTTTCTCTATCTCATTCTTCTAAAGCTATGAACTAGTGTATGCTTGTTAAGTCAAGGAATCTTCCCATGAACATTTTTATCTTTCAGGTTTGTAAAGTGACTTGAATTTCTCAGTATTACTAAAAACCAAATAAATTTTGATTTTTATTGATATGCAATATGCACATTCTATTTTCTCCATTAAAATTTAAGCTTTATCACACTGCATAAAATAATCACTCATTGTATTTTGCATGTTGAACAGCTATTGCCAACATCTTGTTATGAGGGCAATCAATAATAAAGCAGCTTTATATAATTTTTTCTTCATTCATCAAATTGAGAATACCTTGACTGTCAAGGTCTCCTCTCCTTCCTTGGTTAAAAAAACAGGAGTCACCCCTCAACATAAGAAGCAATTGCCTGATTTCTCTCAATTTTGTAAAATGATTAAATTATAAAGAAAAAGAATTAACATGTTAAGCCCACATTGTTCAGCCTATCAAAAAAAGGATTAATCTATCAGTTAAAATAAAAAAGGCTTACAACAACTCCAGTCTTCTAGTCTCAAATTGTCTCATCTCTCAAATTAAAGATAACTTGAAAGCTTGTTCAATGTATAACTGTTGGGTCAATGTTTCTTATCTTCTACTTTGACATGGAATCACCAGATACACCAACTTGTGCTGCTGCCCCCCCGCTAAATTTTACAAGTTTTTGGAAAACTCTCTCTTAGGAAGGTTAGATTACAAAAAGAAAACAGATGGAGTGGAGAAAGGGGCATGAGATATTTCTAAATATCTGATTTCTAAAATCAGAAGTGAAGTATTAATAATGTAAGCTATCTTACATTTAAATATTATTTTATTTCCCAGGTAGTTTGCATATCCAGACATGGGACCAGAAGTTCCACAACCTATATAAGAAATACTACGTCTCTGCCTATATTCCAAAAGCAAGCACAGATAGTGTTTTCCTCAATCCTCCCAGTAATGGGGAGAGGCTTTGGAAGAAACAGGCGAGCCCAAGACATCAATACCTGGCTCCAGGACTGGTGCCTCCACCAGAACTTTGGTTTCTATAACCA